ATTACCACCGTGGCTACACTAGATCCTTCTCCAGAGGAAACTCTGGACAAAGTCTTTTGTGAGGAATTACTCAGATCAAAAGCTGGGGTTCTCCAGGGCCACCTATCACTGCACAGATGCAGGCAGCTCGGTGGCTGGGTTATGAAGAACACAGGGGGAGCTGATATCCCCAATAAGCAAATGGATATTCGTGCTCCCACTTTGCAGAAGACCTTCTCCATGTTGCTCCGCAGAAGTGTGCCCATCAACACGAAACAAGAGCCCACCTAGTGAACTGGAATGCTAAAATCTCCATGAGGGGCCTCTACCTAGCAAATAACCCAAACATGCAACTGGCCAGGGAGATGAGTCTGTCTTGTTGCTTCCAAAGGGCAGGTTCAGGCACTCAGTCACATACTGAAGACAACCAGGAGGGTCTGACAAACTGCTAGCAAGCTGAGGCTTAGGATCTCTGCTGCCTGAGATGTCAGAGCAGTTGAGACTGTAGGACATGGTATGAATAAGGACACAGCTCAAGAACTGTGGTTTGAAGATCAAAGCCCAGACTTCAGTTCTCCTCACACTCTCTCTCTGGGCAAGTCCTATTCTCTGCTGGCTTCTCAGTTTAACTCTCTCTGAAATTGCAATCATGATATTTACCTGCCTCTGGGATGCTATATTTAGCAATGCTTGCAAAACACCTTGGGAGCCTGTGAGAGGAGCAACACACACGTGTGTATTTCTTTTTGTGTATATATACACAGAATCTTTTGATTTTTCAGAAATCTTTACTTGGTGCTGTGCAGCCAGAACCAGAGGTTTGCACCAATACTGTTCTGTCACCTAGCAAGCCTTGCATTTGTGAGTAGTCAAGCATCTGCCAAGAAGGCTCAGGCCAGTGTATCTCCTGCTCAGCTCCCAGTTAAAAGGGTCCCTTGTTAAGGGATAAATGTCAGCATGTTTCTGCAGTGGCCTTTTAGGATGCAGATGCAAGAGATAGGAGACAGGGAAGTCATTCCAGGGATCTGGCCCCTGTCCAAGCAGAGGGCGTTCTCTACATTGATAAGATCAAGAGCACAAGAGGTTTATGTTCAGATTTAAAATTCTTATTTTATTTTTACATAGCAGAAAACATCTCTCTGATCAGCCAGGTTATCAGATTGGCCTTGAAATCCTTACTCCCTCTCTACCTGCCCCAACAAGAGCTCTTGAGATACTCAGGGGCTTGCCAGTTGTGTCTTCTACCCACCTACTGCTGCTGACATAAGCCCAGCTCCACCAACTCTACTCACAGACTGCATGTAGGAGTTTGTAAAGGAAGAACAGGAACAGTACTAGATGAGAGACATCTAAACCTCAGCCCCAAGAGTGCTTGGAGAACTGAAGACTTGAAAGACTCCTGAAGACCAGTCTTTGCATGCAGGGCTGACTACAGCTGACCAAGCCTCGTCCAGGGTGGAGGCAGTTGCACCCTGTGAGCACGTGCACCTACAGTCACCCTTCCAGAGCCCAGGAAGCAGCTGCATGCAACACCCAACTGCAGCACCCAAGCGTGGTGGGCCCACGTCCACACCTCACCTCACACTGGCACGTGCTGTGCTACACAGATCTGCTCTCATGCACAAATCAGACACAGGCTGGCACCTCCAATTTATCCCTGCTCTCCCACCCACAGGGGCTGATTCTCTTCTTCCATTATATTTTACTGGGGGTAGGGGGCACAGAAAGTTTTTTTTTTTTTAAAAAAATATTATTTTCTCTCTGCTATAGACCTTGACCTCTCACAGCTGCTATTCCTGAAAACTTTTCAAATGTGCCTGAGCTGCTGCATGTGTGAGAAGTTTATTAATCCCTCTGCCTTAATCTGTCAAGGTTCTTAGGCTCGTAACATCACTGTCCCATCATCCTGCTTCAGAAGAACTGCTGAGCAAGTGGAAATGCTGTAGTGTAACACCACCTGAGTTGACCTATGGGAAGCTGAAGTACAAGGAATGACAAGGTAGCAACTTCATGTTAAAAAAGCACCTGGAGAAGTAAAACCCAGCCTAGGTTACTTACTTGAGAAAGTCTCCAAAAAACCATGAACATTTTCAAGGGCTGAAACTTATGTTTCAGTGCCAGAGGACAAAGACACTGCCCCCCTCCATTTCATCTTCCCATGGAAGACTCTTCCAGCAGGGAAGAAGAGCATAGCTGGGATGATGCATGAGAGAGCATCACCTTGTGTCCTGTCATGGCAGCAAAGCCCCAAAATGTCAAGGAAACCAAAGTACCAGTAAAGAGAAGGTTTTTTTTTAAAAAGCACACATTATCCCTCACCTTTTTCTTCTGGTTCTCCTTCCCATCTCACAATGGACGGGCAGCACATCACTGCTTTGTGGGTAAATTTGGTATTTGAGAGGAGGAGAAGGAACAGATAAGGGCTGGCTAGAGCCCTGTGCAGAGCTGGATGTTATTTCTTCATCTCCTCATATGTCTTCTAGCCAGGACACCTCAGTCAGGTCTTCCAGCAGCCCCACAGCAACCCAATACTTCAGAGTGCACAATTAATCCTGATGTGTTATGCATTCTCTTGTGCTCCTGCCTGGATTGTTTTCAGTAGAGCCATCTCCTCCTGTGCCCAGTGAACTCTCCCCAGACTGTGCCTGTCCTTCAGGCTTACCCACAGTCTAAGCCTGCTGCAACACTTTCACACAAAGTGTTTATCACCTTCCTTTACCCTGGCTCCACGTGCTTTGGCTGTTTTTTTTGTAAGTGTCCCTGGACTGCAGCTCTTTCCAGTGCTGCTTGGTGACAGTGCCCCAGTCTCTGGGGTTTCAACAACGCCTCCCTGGGGGTGGTTTCCCCTGACACTTTGAACTCATTACTCAGCTTACTCTTGTGCCCCTAGAGAATCTGAGCAGTAGAATTACCTCTTTGCTCCCTACTGAGCTTGTGTTAGCTTGCACTAAAATAAACAGCAGAAACTGAGAGCCCACACTTCTGACAGATGGCACAGAATCCACACTTCTCTGGCCAGCCTTGCCCAGCTGGGACAGTGCATCTGTACCTGAGGCACTCGTGTGGTTTCCATGACAATAGCATATGATACCTCTCAGTCTCTCGTTGGTCTGCTGTGCTGGCAGGGCCATTAAGTAAAGGAGCATTTTCACTCCCATTTTTCAAATGACTGCGAGTGCCTGCTTTTGTGTACCCAGCTTAGAAGGGAGGCAGCAGGTCCCTGGCAGAACACTTTGCCAAGGTGCCTCCACACTGGCAGCAGCAGAGAGAGGTCGATAGCTCTGAAGGATGATGCTGTGCTCTCATCATATAAAGGGAAACTTCAGTCCAGCCAGTAAGGCATGCTTGGCACAGGGCTCCCTCTCAGCGTTGCCCAGCAGCAGGACAAGAGGTAACAGGCACAAGCTGAAATGTAGGAAATTCACGTTGCCCAGAGAAATGGTGGAGTCTCTGTCCATGGAGATATTCGAAGCACAGGAGGCCATTGCCTTGAGCAACATGCTCTTGCTGACCCTGCTCTGAGGAAGGGGGTTGAACTAAACTGTTTCTAGAGGTGCCTGCTAACCTCAGTCATTCTGTGATTTGCAGCTCTTGCCCAGCACTCTGTAATGGCATCAGGGCACAGCACACACCTTAGTTCACTTGAGAGGGCTGTTCTGAGGCCCGGCTGAATGTGGTGTTTTGCAAAAGGTGATAGTAGGAGACCAAGTGAGAGGCTTGATTCTCTGTTGCTGAAGGGCTGGTGACACAGGTTCAGTGTTGGCACTGTGCCATTGTGGTGAGGATGGAAGAAGTGAAGACAGATCTCTCAAAGCAAATGGGCTGAGGAACCAGGCAACAGTCTACGTGTCTGAACAGGAAACTTCACCACGTGAACCAGTTGGCTCGTGGCAGCGTAGCCCCGAGAAGCACAAGGGCTCCTGTTTCAGCACAGGTACAGTGTGTGCAGCCTGGCTCTGGAGGGAGGTGGGCAGTGATGTCCAGCCAGCTCACACCTGGCTGGAGACACAGAGAGTGAACCCACCTGAGGCAGCAGCGTGCCCATAGCGGGAGCACTTCTGGGTACACAAAGGCATCGGTTCCACTTCCTGCCAGGCAAGGCATAAACCCTGAGAAACCCTGAAGGATCCTGGTCCACCATTCATCCCTCTCACAAGACTGAAATTGTTGCAGTGAAAGTAGCAGTTTTATCACAAAAGAGACCTGTTTTCTTCATCCTGACCTGTGTACTGCAAACAGGTGGAGGATCATACGGGGCTCAGTGGACTGAGGGATTTGTTTTGGCTGCAGTGTGCAAGGTGAAGCACAGATCTCCTGCAGCACCAAGGGAAAGCAGGCCAAGGCACCCCAAAGGAGACAGGGACAGGCTGAAGAGTCAGGGGGTGGGGTACTAGAGATGAGGGCTCAGAGGTACAGGCAGCAAAAACTACAGGCAGAAGAGCTGAGCAAACCCAGTCCTGCCAGGCACATATATGCTCAAGAATGGGAGATGCTCAGACACCCTAGTGTCATCCCAGGTACAAAGCCATCCAAGCCATCTAGCTCTCTCCTCTGCCACCTTCCAGTCCCACATCCCACACAGTTCTGCAGACATCAGGGCACTGTGCAGACACAGTCCCCTTTTCTGTTCTGTCTACCAGTACCTCTCACCCCCACTGAACATCAGTTCAGCTACCTCAGTTCAGCACTTCCCTGGGTCAAGAAGGATCAAAATTACACCCTAAAGGACAGCTATTCATAACTGTATGAGCTCACAGCAAGGGATGTAGGCTTTCACACCAAGGAAGCTTTGAACCCATAGTCTCCAAAACAGAAAAGCCAATGTATTATTAGCCTTGTCAGCACCTAACCAAAATTACAACTACTGCCTATGCTCCAGACTAACAACTTTTGTTATGCAGCTGATTAAGCCACAAGAAACCTCCAGAAATAGTCTTCCGGGTGTAGATGTTCAAAGAGAACTACCACATTTAAATATAAGTGGAAAGATGAAGGAACTGCACCAGAAAGGGGCAACTTACATGAATTTTAATAACTCTAGTCTTCGCTCCACAATTCTTCTTGAGCAGCATCTTCTGAAAGAAAAGTAGAATCCAGGGATTAGTAGCAGTAGCATGAGGGAACAGAAAGAGGGAGGTTGTAAGGAGTCTCTCCATCAACATTTAATTAGCAAACAAGATGGATGGGTGCTTAAGTGAGAAATGAAAGACTAAAAATCACCAAAGGTGAAGTAATCAAGTAATCAGCCTCATCAGAGACTGTCTTGCCCAGCCTCCAGAGTCCTTTGGCAGTGGCTGATACCCTGGGTAGAGAGAGAATGTACAAGAAGCTGCACAGAGAAAGATGAAATAACTGCCTAAAAGGAAGTTTCTTTCTAATTTCTGTCAATTAGTGGTTAGACTTTGCCCTGAAGCAGGTGAGTACCTTCCTTTTATGAAGAAAAAACACAGTCTAATGTAAATGTGGATGTTACCATTATTTAACAGTTATTTTCATTATGTTTATTTATTTATAATTAAAAAAAAAACAAGGCAAAAAGCACCTGCCAACAGTCCTAAAACCCTTTGTCATATATTGTAAGAACCATTAAAGTTGTCATAACATATGAACCACACTACTTAACAAACAGGATATACTTAAACCAGCAATTACTCTGTGTAACTACAGAAATAAACAGGTGAGCTGCAGCTCCATCCCAGTTCTGAGGCAGTGCTTTGAAAGTTGGCAAGGGAATAAAATCATTCTTTCCCCTAAAAAAATTTCCAGAAAATGACTAAGTGGAAAAACAAGGCTTCAAGAGAACAGTTTTTCCATTAAAAACATACTTCAACATTTTTCATAGTGAAAAACTTGGTGATGGAGGTATCAGGAAGAAGCTTCTCCATCAGATTTTGAAAGAAATATTAGATTTTCCTAGCTCCTGTTTTCTACCCTTTTCCAGTTGGAAAGCTGTGCACAGGGTGGGAAACTACTCCCTCCACATACCCATTTTAACAAACCAACTGAAGTGCTTTTCAAATTAAGTTCTTAACACACAAGACCTGAGAAAAGATGTTCCACCATTTTACTAATACAAAGGGTAAACAGTGAGACCTTCCTAGTTCCTCTCTCCTTTTGTTTGTGGTCTTCCTGCTTTTTCCAGTAGAAGACAAGATAAAAGCAACACAGTAAAGGAAGTCTTGGAAACTCAAAAAAAGCTTAAAAGAAACACCCAAATACAAAAACAACCTCCAAAGAACTCAGAAGAAAAAAAAAAAAGCAAACCACAAAACAACCCAAACTGAAGACAGTGCTCAGGTGAAAGTATGTATTCTTTTTCCAGTAGAAAGTACTGCTGAGAGGCAGGGAGAGAAGTCCCACTCCTCCACCACCACCTCTATTTTACAACTCATGAGCTTGTCTTTGAAGTCCCAATCCACAGAGCTGCTGAAAATCTGGAGGAATTTGGAGACCAACCACCACGTCTACACGCATCAGCATTTTGGATGTGAAAATCCAGCCCTTCAGCACACTCACAGCCCACTTAGGTGGCTGGAAAAGAGATGGGCACTGCAGCAGGTCTTGAAACTTGTACATCTGCAGTTTGGGGCCTGAGGAAAAGTACATTTCACTGTCCAGGCAGCCGTGGGGAAGAAGGGAGATGCTGCAAGAATTTTGAGCTTCTTCTCTTAAACCTTTAGCCAGTGAATCTTAATGCTGTCTTTGTTATTCACAGGGCTCAGCAGCAGTGCCTGATATGCCCCTGCCCCCAGGTCTGACCTGGCAGCACAGGCTGCTGTGTCAGCACAGCACTGAGGGTTCTAACCTAAAAGGACCCAACATGTCTTTGCACAAACCAGGTAGAAGAAGACAAAGGGAACTGCTGAGCTCAACTAACCTGAGCGTGTGCTGTCCAACTAAGCAAGTAATTCTCCAGGAATTCCTATAAAACAATGTGGGGCTCTGCTCCCAGCCCGGCTGCAAGGCAGTTATTGTAAGGCTGGTATTTACTGTGAAATCCCTGCTTTTCTTAAGACCTGCACAACCATGCAGTAAAAAAGACAGAGAAGGAGGAGGAGGGAGAACTTGGTGGGACTGACAAACCTCAGGAGTGCAGAGAAGGGCTAAGTGAGGAGTTGTGAGGTCTTGCAGAGTTTCAGACTCTCCATAAGCTTTTATTACAGACTGCTGTGAAATGTTGGATGGTGGGGATGAGGAAGGGTGAGCTAGAGAGCTCAAGCAACAAGCCCACCAGTGGGATAAAATGTGTGAGAAAGTGAGAATCAGCACTCTGGGTGTTCAGGTCCATCCTTTAGGGGAAGAGCCCTGTTACAGCAGGACATACCCTGCTGCATCCCATCTGACTACAAGCTACACTTGTAGCCTTGAGCCACAGGATCTTCAGGCTGCTGTAAAACTCACCTTTACAGTGGTACCTTGGTTGAACCCCTAAGGATGGAGCAAGGCTGTGACACCAAATTCCACAGTGCCTCAGTAGCACCACAGGACCCTCTGCTGAGAGGGGAGAAGTATCTTTAAACTACTCTGTTGGGCAGGAAGCAAGTACACTTTCCAGTACAGTTCACCAGGGTCCAAGTCCTAGTGAAGTCCCATCCACAGGTCCCCAAGTGTCCACACTGAGGTGCAACAAAAGATGTTATTTCCCAACTAGAAATGAGCAGAGGCAGCAAGACCTTAAATTTACTCATCCTGGTCTTCTATTAAAACACACAGGAACAACAGAAACAGCCATTACAAATAAAAACTGACTTGAAAAGTTTGAGCTAGGCTGGTGGGTGGATGGACAACCAGGCAGACTCTACCAAGAAGAACTCAGGTGCTCAGCTGCATCCCACATCCTATGCTTCTGGCAGAAAACAGATGCTCCTTGAGCAATGCTGTTGGGATGAGCTTTAATCATATGAGGTTCTTACCACTATTTGCACTATTGCTACAGTCCAAAGAGGCTGCACTGTGCAGCAAGAGCAGGATGCCTGGCATAACATTTTTTCCTTAGTTAATAGTGATCTCTGGTGTGCCTCTTCATGGACTTAGCAGCAAAATGAAAACATGACAACCCCTGATGCACAGGTTGTAAAATTGGAGCATAAATCTCAGTAGAGGAAGCTCTCTGGAACTGCTGGGTTCTCCTGCTTCCACTTAAGACTAGAAGCAGAGCAAGACTGCTGGTGCTGCACTCCTCCAACTTCACTGCAAGGGTCTAAGATTATCACAAGTGACAAAACAGAAAGAGGGGGAGAGAGATAGAACAAGCCAGCCACATGGTCCTGCAGCTGAGAATTAATAAATAGAGTTATCAAACAGCATTCTATTTCATCAAATTGCTTCCATCTCACTGGCAGCCACACGCTCTCTGCACCCAGCACAGTAAAGCCATGCTTTGCAGAAAGTCAGTCAAGCATCTTTGCATGGTTTTCCATCTCTCAGTTTTCCCTTTCCTTGCCAAACCTGAGTGCAGATTTTCAGAGGGGGGAGCTAAAACACAGTGCTGCCTAGCAACAGCCAGGGACTTTCCACAGCAGCCTCTCCTCATCCTCCCTCTGGAGACCTCCACGTCACAAGCCAGCCATGAGATGCAGCAACTCATTAACTCCTATTTACGTAGATACAAGGCAGAGCTGAAATAACATTCATTTGGCTACATGATTTGCAGTAGCCTAAAGCCAGGGAGACTGGCCTATAAGAAAGGTGGCCCATTTGGTTCAGTAACCCTGGGATTATTGCTGACTACTAGGCCAAGCTGGAAGTGCAGTTTTATTTCCTTGAGTTATTTTTTGGGAGCTATGACAAGAAGAGCAGAGATTTGCCAAAGGTCATGGAGAACGTTAGCAGCAGAGCTAAGAATAAACCTTAGGGTTTGGTTTCTGAGACTCATTCTTCCACCTGTAGAAAAGGAAATTAAATAAAAAGCAGCAGCATCTGTGCTCAGCCTCCCGATTTCAATTAAGAAGTCCCTCCTGTTGGTCTCTGACAGAACTGCTGGCATCAGAGCTGAAGCCTGCAGCTTGGGAGCACTATTATTTGTACAAAGGAAAGTTTGTACAAATACAAAGATACATAAATCTGCTGTGGCTTCTACTTAAAAGGAGGAAATGACACGACTTAGAAAACATGGAAAGTCTTTTTGGGGCACAAGAGCCACGCTTTGCTCTAAAAAAATAAGGCTCAGTTGGAGCATTTTAGGGTTAAACTTCCATAAAATAGAATTGGTTCAGCCTAAGAACCCTCCCACCAATTGCACCTCGTGTCATACAAACACTCTCTGCTCACAACCCAGTGACCCTCTCCACCCTGGACTTGGAGTCAAAAGAAAGTTTCATGGGCTGGAAATGATCACTGAGAGGGTTACATATTTACTGAACAACATGCAGTAATGAATTCCTGACCTGGCACGCGTGGCTTTGCTGCACATCACTGCCATACCAAAGCACCACATTAAGAGCAGTGCTGAACCACCCCTCCTGCTTCTCTCAGAGCACAGCTCTCAAGTCCAGCTTTGCTCCAGCAGATATCTACAATGAAGTAGCAGTGCTCCAAGTCCTCTCACCCTGACTTGAGCAGTTCTGAACCAACCATCTGAACCAGATGGTAAGAGGTGCACGCATGTATTTGCTTATGCACACAAGCTAATGTATCCAGAACTGTTGTATACAAATTGCACCACCCAGATGACTGTAATATATATATATACACATGTTAACAAACAAAATATAGCTATTTTTAATGCATGGTGATTCTAGGAATAGTGAAATCCTCAAGCTGGATGAATTTGTGTCACACTACTGCAGTTCAAAAATAAATATTTGAAAATCCAGCAGTGAGAAGTTTAAAGGCAGGCATCACAGCTGAAGTTTCAAATATTTGAGAGCTGAACAAACTCTTAAATCAATGCACAATGCAAAATATCAGCTTGTATATTAACAAACATCCTTCATATAGGATCTGCTTTCTATATGCACATTTCTATTTTTAGAATGGTTTCACTTTTACTACCTCCATAGGACAAAACAACAGCTCTTTTGTTTACTGGTGAGGGGATTAATTATTATTATTTAGTTAGTTTTGTTATCTAGTT